AAGAAGTGATCGAGGTGGTGAATATGATGCACTTTTTGATTGGTTATGTCAAAAACATGGTATTATTCACCAAAATTATGCGCCTTATACACCTCAGAAAAATGGAATTGCTGAACGTTAAAATAGAACTTTAAAAGAGATGATGAATATCATGTTGATTAGTTCGGGATTACCTCAGAACTTGTAGGGGGAAGCTTTGCTTTCAGCAAATTATATTTTAAATAGACTACCCCACAAGAAGTTAGACAAAATCTCTTATGAATTATGGAAAAAAAGGAGTCCTTCCTATAAATATTTAAAAGTGTGGGGGTGTTTGGTTAAAGTGATGGTTTCTATTCCCAAAAGGATTAAAATAGGACCTAAGACTATTGATTGTATATTTATTGTTTATGCAATAAATAGCAGTGCATATCGTTTTCTTGTGCATAAATCTGATACTCCTGATATACAGGTCAATACAATCATTGAGTCAAGAAATGCATCTTTTTTTGAAAATATCTTTCCTAGTAAAAATGCATGTGATGAGAGTTTTCTTAAAAAAGCTCATGATACTGCAACTAGCAATATAGACAATGAGTCTATAAATGCAAAAAGTGAAGAGGCATTTAGACGCAGTAAGAGGGCAAGGACTTCCAAGTCCTATGGTCCAGATTTTTTAATATATTTGTTAGAAAATGAGCCTCAAATCTTTAATGAAGCGATGTCCACTCCTAAAGCACCTATGTGGAAAGAAGCTGTAAACAGTGAAATTGAATCCATCATGCAAAATCACACCTGGGAGTTAGTAGATCTTCCACCAGGGAGTAAACCATTGGGGTGTAAATGGATTTTCAAGAGAAAAATGAAAAGTGATGTATCAATTGATAAGTACAAGGGTAGACTTGTAGCTAAAGGTTACAAACAAAATGAAGGTCTTGATTACTTTGATACATATTCTCCTGTTAAGAAAATAACATTTATTTGTATGCTCATAGCTATTGTAGCATTGCATAATCTTGAGATACACCAAATAGATGTGAAAACAGCTTTCCTAAATGGTGACTTAAATGAGAAAATTTTCAACCCGAAGGGTTTGTTTCTCTAGGACAAGAAAGTGTGTAGACTTATTAAATCACTTTATAGTTTAAAGTAAGCACCAAAATAATGGCATGAGAAATTTGACAAGGTAATGATGTCAACTAGTGTCACAATTAATGAATGTGATAAATGTGTTTATGTTAAACATACAAATAATGGATATGTCATTGTTTGTCTATATGTGGATGATATGCTTATTATAGGTAGTAATAATAATATTATTACAGCTACCAAGAAAATGTTGTCCAATAAGTTTGACATAAAGGATTTGGGTGTTGCAGATGTTATATTAGGAATTAAAATTTTGTAGAACATCTAGTGGACTTGTATTAGCTCAAACACATTACATTGAGAAAATACTTGAGAAGTTCGACAAAGATGAAAGCAGCATTGCTAGAACACCAGTTGATATAAATCATCATTTGTTTAAAAATACTGGACAAAGCATATCACAATTGGAATACTCTCGTATTATTGGAAGTCTAATATATGTTATGAACTCCATTAGATCGGATATAGCATATTCAGTTTGTANTTAAAAATATTGGACAAAGCATATCACAATTGGAATACTCTCGTATTATTGGAAGTATAATATATGTTATGAACTCCACTAGACCGGATATAGCATACTCAGTTTGTAAATTGAGTAGATATACAAGTAATCCAAGAGTAAACCATTGGAAGGCAATTATCAGGGTTCTTAGATACTTAAGATATACCCTGAAGTTTGGATTGCACTATACAAGGTATCCAACTGTACTTGAAGGGTATAGTGATGCAAACTAGATATCTGATATGAAGGATACAAAATTCACAAATGATTATATTTTTACACTTTGTGGTGTAGCTATATCTTGGAAATCCTCTAAGCAAACGTGTATTGCCAGATCCACAATGAAATCTGAATTTATTGCTTTAGATAAAGCAGGAGAGGAAGCTGAGTGGCTTCGCCAATTTCTAGAGGATATTCCAATATGGCCTAAACCTATGCCAACAATTTGTATACATTGTGATAGCCAATTTGCAATTGGTAGGATATAGAGTAACATGTATAATGGTAAGTCTAAACATATACATCGTAGACATAATACTGTTAGGCAATTGCTCTCAAATTGAATTATTTTCATTGATTATATAAAGTCAAAGGACAATCTAACAGATCCGCTTACTAAAGGTTTGACGAGAAAGTAAGTAAATTGCACATCGAGGGGAATGGAATTAAAGTCTATGACACAAGAGTCACCTTAATGGCAACCCAACCTAGTTGACTGGAGATCCCAAGATCTAGGTTCAAAGGGACAATCGAATTATGCGTGATTCAAATGAAGCATTAAGGAGATAATCTCTCCTACCTATTCCTATGATAACCTAGTGCTGCTTGCAGAGTTTATTAGGGTAATATATGCTTTTAATGACTTTTATACCTTGGTAAATTCAAGTGGGATATTGCAGGATATTCCTAATAGGAGTCACCTATAAAGGTGTGAAGGGGCCGCTTCTATGAAAATTTGTAAAGGCTGAATTCTCTAAAGCACTCATGAAAATCAGGAGTTCAGGGCCAAAATGAACACAATCATGAGAAACAATTGTGTTAGGAAAGAGACTGTGTGAAGTTTATTTGATTTGATTTATCAAACAGCTGAATAGTTCAAGACATCACGTTCAGTATTTAGCCGGTAAGTCCGATGGGTTCAAGGCCAAAAACTACCTATCTCGATGCACGATCTTTTCAAAGATGTACTCTCTATAGTGTGTCAGCATTATCATTTATATACTAACAACCAATTTTTCATTCATGTGGGGGATTGTTGGACTAAAATAGTTTTTTGAGTGTAAAAATTGAGTTTTTGGTCGACTTTGAGTCTAAATTAAAGTGGGACCCGATTGTTATTTTAAATAAAATTTCGTGGGTTCATATTCTACTCCGTGAGGAGAATAACGTAGTATATTCACTTGCTCAAATAGAGTAAGAAATGAATGAAAAAATAGGCTTCAAAGTGACCCTCTTGAAACATGAGAAATAAAGGAAGTGCAATGTGGGATGTAACATCAATCCCACATTGGTTGAAGAAGAAATTCAACATGGGCATATATAGGCCAAGTTTGTTCTATGGGATTGGGCCCCAAGGGGTACCATAGTTTTATGAGCAGAACGAGGACCTACATGCCTTCGGTTCAACCACACACGCGCGCCGCCCGTCTGCCTCGACTCGCCACGACCCGATCCGACCGGGGCAGGCTCGGGTATGGGTGTGGCCAAGCTCTATCTTTTTGGATAAAATTCATTTAATTAATGGGCGAGAATTTCTTAACCCAAAATTAATTCGGTACCCACTGGATCGATCCGAATTTAGTTTGAAATTGAATTATGATTGTTTATGAATAACAGTTATTATTAAAGGTCTCCATTGGCTGGTCGGTTTTTTGTTTCTGAGTTGTGTCCTTTAGTATGGTGGTTGTCTGAACAGTCACCAGACTATTTATAAATACTCAGTTCATGCATTCATTTTATTGATTCAATTAATCAGTCCATTAAGACATTAAACAATCTGCATTTTGGCATTAAGGCAGTGCATTTAGAGAGAGTATACAACACAATATTGGTTCGCTAGACGATCAAATTAGAGTGCTACTTCTGTTCGTGTAAAGATCATTATATCCTGAGAGGCAGACGCTCGATTTTCATAAGCACCGTGTGTGTGGGCGAAATCTATCTTAAAGACATAGTGTCAAATACTGGCTTTAATCTACTCAAAGTTCAATAACAGTTCCTGTTCTACAACTGGGTTAGTTTTATATTAGTTTGACAAAAAGTTTCTGTGTCACTCTTTACTGTAACTGTTTCGTTCTGAGTAACTATTTTACAGTTCACATTTACTATTTTATTTTATTTTAATTTACGTAATATCAGAAATTTTAATAAGTAATTTTACTATATTTGGCACACCAAAAACCATCAAATATTACATTTTTTAAGTCAAAGAGACCAGTCGGAGAAGAGAGTAGCACTAGAGAGGAGAGCAACACAAACCGTTGGAGATTGTCTTTGCTTTAACGAGAGAGAGAGAGAGAAAGAGACACACACACAGGCGAGAGGAAGAGAAAACAGAAAACATATGGTTTGTATACTCTAGGCAAATGTCCCCTTAAATTGCTGCTAATGGGGTTTGATGGCAAGACCACATTTAACCCCTTGGTTCTCGTGCGTGTTTACATTTTTTTTTTTCTGTTTTTATAAACACCAAAATATTGTTTTCAAAATTTTGGGATTGTTTACAAAATAGATTAGCCCAAAAAAAAAATGAAAACACTCTCCAAATAATGTTTTTGTTTCTTTTTTTTTTTGACAAAAATTAAAAATAAAAACAGAAAAAAGTACAGACACCAGGTTACCTAACTCAATCTAAATTTCCATAAAAATCCACAAAGGGATAAAGAGTGAACCTGACTTTGAATAAAGGTTATTTCATAATAAATTTAAAATATTTATAAAATGTGAGCTTATTCAAGTCAAGATAAACATACTCAAAACTAAGCTATACATCACTTGAATTCAGCCCGTCAAAAAAATGAGGTTAAAAATTTGATCAAACTCGATTGATTTTGAAATTTGCATGAGCCAAAATAAGTCAAAACAAACTCAAGTTGAAACCGAGTCCGAGCTCCGATCATTTAACAACCCAGTTCCTAGTTGCTGTGGTTGGTAGTGTTGAGTGTGCATGCGTGAGAGTGTGCGTGTGTGAGAGAGAGAGGCCAAACAAGAAAAAGAGGAAAGAAGAAAGAAGAAAGAAAGAATAAATAAAGAAAATAACCCTAAGATAATCACTTTTATAATCATCGAAATTCATAATCCTTGAAATACACCAAGCATGATCTGATAATCAGACACCATTGCTGGTGTAATGGATCTACATTTCTGTTCAGTCCTCAATCTCCCCATCTCCAAGCTCCTCAGATCTTACAACGATCGGTCCGCCATAATGGGGTGGTGGTGGTGGTGCAGCGGCTGCTGCAGCGACAGCAAGGTGATGGAAGAAGTAGAGCCTAACGGCTTGGCGGCGGCGGAGTGGCAGCTCCTCCTTGCGATGAAAGTTTCGGTGACAGCCGCAGACGGCGCAAAGTAAAGCTTCTGGTGTTCCGTTGTTGCCATTCTTCAAGAAGCCGCCGCACCCATCAACGATATGACGGCCGAGGTGAGCTGCGTGGTTGCGCCTGCACTCTCTGTAGCTTACCATCGTCTCCGCAGCGCCACCGTTGGCTGCCGTGAGAGAGAGAGAGATAGAGAGGGAAAGGGGGGTTACGGATGCTGAAGCAGATTTACATGGCTCTTCCAGGTTTGAGAAACCGTCGTGATATTTGGCTTTACTTCACCATAAAGGT